ACTTATGTCCATTTATTCTTTGCATCCTCCTGGACTGAATCCTCCTGGATGGAATTGAGACCTAGGTTTCCTGTTTCATTACCAACGCTAATATCTCTGTGTCTGCTTTCCCTTTGCATATCACGTGTAATCAAATCATGCCTGCTATTGTCATTTAGCATTTGAAATCATCTTTATAAAGTTTATATCTCTGGTAACTTGTGTTACATTTTATAGCACGCATGGTCTGGCCCAACAAAATGACATTTATGTCAGATCTGGCCCTCATTACAAATGAGTTTGACACCTCTGGTCTAGCCTTTTTCTCTTCCTTTTCTTGCACCCAGCTCAGCCAGATCTTGCAAAGCAGTAGTTAGGGTGTTGCAGCAAGATAAAACAACCTTTTCCTCTCTTAATTTCTCTCCCTCTTTTCCACATTTTTCTCATTCATTTCTGTGGAAATAGATCAAAATGGGTAGACATGTTAGTCAGTAGAAAAGAACAAGAGCCCAGTAGCACCTTAAATAAGTGAGCAGTGACTTACGAAAGCTCATACTGTGCCACATATTTTGTTAGTCTTTAAGGTGCTTCTGGACTCTTATTCATTTCTGTCTCCCTTCACCTAATTTTTCCATATCTCTCTCCCCCCCTTATTTTCAATCCTTGGTTTCAAGATCTTCTCATCCCTATCCTGCTTGGTGACAGAATATATTTGAGAGTAGTAGGCCCCGGTCACATGGGCAGGAAACTGCGGGGGGGAAGTGTGGCAGTTTGCCCCGGGGAAAACTAACGTGTGGTAAAGAGATCAGACCTCCCGTTGAGGTACCGTGGAGGTTCCGTGGGAAGGGAGAGGTGCTGATTGCAAGACAATCCCGCGTGCAAAAAAGAAGCGCGCGGTGCGGCAAACTGGATGTTTTTTGTGTGTGTACACCACGACTGCGCATGCTCCGTTGGGTGCTTGTGCGCATCCACAGAGATGTGGGGGAAAAAACACCTTTTTCGCAAGGGGACATGGGCGGGCGCCGGATGCCTCCGGAAACGCGATCAGACGCCTGCCCTTGCCCCGCAGTTTCCTGAAACTAGTACCTCCGAGGTACTAGTTTTTTGCTGCGTGTTTTCGGCGGGAAGCCTCAGTTGAGCCACGGAAGTGCTACGCTTCCCAGATGTGCCGGTGAGATCGCGCCCGGAAACTCCGCCTGTCTTCTGTTGCTCTAGCATGGCTAATGCTCCGTGTGACCGCAGCCGTATAGTGGCAAATCTTTGTTAATATTATGAACAGAAGACACTGGGTTTGCTGGACACTATACACTGCACTGGGTCTGCTGATTTTCCAACACCCCCTGGACTATGATTCTGTGCTTGTCATCAGTCTTGTTGAGCTGGCATTGCCACAGTGGCAGTGGGTTCTGTTGGCACCCTGTGTCTGCCCTGGTACTGCTGGGTACTCTGTACATAGCACTGGTTCTGCTGGGCTTGCA